TACCTTTCATCTGCCTCCCATCTTCAGCTATATTTATTACCTACTTTATTTATACCCCACTTTTCTCCACAGCGGGGACCAAAACAGTTTACATTATTCTCTTCTCCTCCTTTTTATCCACACAAGAACCCTGTGAGGTAGGTTAAGCTGAAACTATGAGACTGGTCCAAAATCACCCAGTCAGCTTCCACAGCTAGATGGGAATTAGAACCTGGGTCTCCCAGACCCTGCTCTGAAGCTCTAACGGCTACAACACACTGGCTTTCTTAGGGTGGCTGTAGCAGGCAGCCAGGCCTAGTTGATCCACGAAAGTCCGGTGATATCAATTCACCCACAGGTTGCTTCCAGGCCTAGAAAGATCTGTCTTGCCCGTTCACAGCTCCAGTCACCAGATTTAAGTATCCAAAGTTATCCAGACTTTGCTATTCGAATATAAGATTTTGTTTTGGGCATTCCTCATGTTTTATTTTAAAGAGCAGTCAAATTTTCAGTGGTGAATTAGACATTTTAAGTATGTAAAGAAGTCAAATACTAGAGTCCCAGATCCTGCTTTGTGATAACCAGTCAGTATGTACTCACTTCCGCAATCCCTGCTTCCCGTTTCTAAAATTAGCACACATATGATGGCGAGTAAGACACTATTATAAGCAATGAAGTAGTTTATTATTGCACACAAAAACCACATTCACCACTAACTTGTATGCTATCAGGTCTAATTAATACAATAACATAATAAGATGATCAGCTGTGGCCATAGTGGTTAGTGTCAGACTGAGCTCTTGGGAGACCAGGTTCGAATTCCCAGTCTGTTTACTGGGTGACCTTAAGCCAGTCTCCCTCTCTCAGCCTAAACAGGCATTTCATATTCCACAAGCATTTCCTAACATTATGGGGAATACAACATTCTGTCCAAACAAAGAAATCAAACATCTTCATTTGTCCACAGATGTTCATATTAAAATCAGAAAGACATCACTATAAAGTGCTATGGCATGTTAAAACTTAGAGTGGGTTTTTTTAACCTTCTAAATGATACTTCAGGACACTGGTTTTCAAATTCTTATCAAGGGTTTCCCGAAGAAGTAAGTAATGGCAAAGCTACTATGAGGTCCTCTCCAGTGATACGCAGCACATAGTGGGTGTGTTCTGGGATACATTCTCTTGTTCATACAGCAATGGCGAAAACTAACAAAGCTGGTCAATGCCACGAGCTAAGCATTTACCCTAGAAAAACCCAGTCAAATAGTCTGTAGCCCACAGAGCCTTGGAGTGCCTCAGCAGGCAAGCTGAGACGGGAAGAGTGATAGGCCACTGCAATAATTCTCGATATCATTCCCATTACCACCACGCAAGAGATGATTTCTTGCTTAGATACTACAGGAGCCAATATCTCAGCATCATCCACCCTTGACAAAATTAGTTCAGCCACCCCTCTACACAGTCTCTGTACTCTTCCAACTGGATCTCCTTCTCCTGTTTCACCTTGCACTTTCCTTGATTAGATCCGATTCTATGTTAAACCCACTCTCCCCATCTGGAAGCCATCCTCTCCCACTGAGTGGACTTGCCTCCTCTTTGGACCAGATCTTGCAATGAACTGGGTACTCTTTGTACGACCTCGCTTTTCTGTTGCTTGCCGCTGTAAACACATCTTCTTAATGGAAGTGCGTTTCACGGATATGAGCTTTTACCTGAAGAAAAGAGCAAGAGTCCTGTAGCATCTTAAAGACTTTAAAAAAATTGTAGCGGGGGTGAGCTCATCCCCTGCCACAACTTTTGTTAGTCTTTAAGGGGCTACAGGACTCTTGAACTGGAAAAAAGGGGGAAGGGGAAAACTCAACCCAAGATAACACTGCGAACCAGAAGGGTTAAGCTGACCATGTAAATGATAAAAGTACAAAATGTATTAGGGTGTACACATATTAAAATATATTCGGGTTAAAAAAATTTTTTTTCAAGTATCAGACTAATAAAAGCATATCAAATATTAATACGCATGGTGGGTCAGCACTTTCCAACTGAAGACCAAACGCGTTTCGGCCTCACAGGGCCTTCCTCAGTGGTCACTATCAATGTTCCCTCTAAGCTGAGTTAGTGTGAGCTAGCTCACGGTTTTTGAGCCTCTGGCTCACACATTTTTGTCTTAGCTCAGGAAGGATGGGCTCCAGAGCAAACCAATTTATGCAGCAGCCAAATCACCTGCTCAGAACTTTAATGCCAGTAGCTCACAAAGTAGAATTTTTGCTCACAAGACTCCATAGCTTAGAGGGAACATTGGTCACTATTACAACATATTATAGACACGCATTCAAACATATGTATACAAGATCTTTAGTACACTTATATAAAGACCAGATGTTGTATCCTTATATGTTTGTAATTGTGTTACTGGTATTAATGATACCAACAGAATCCTTACCTTGATGGAGTGACACACATTCAGACATGAAATCTCATTTACCAGAATAAATGGAATGGATATGGCTATACCTGTGGCCCATCATCAATACCAGTAACACAATTACAAACATATAAGGATACAACATCTGGTCTTTATATAAGTGTACTAAAGATCTTGTATACATATGTTTGAATGTGTGTCTATAATATGTTGTAATAGTGACCACTGAGGAAGGCCCTGTGAGGCCGAAACGCGTTTGGGCTACAGGACCTCTTGCTCTTGCACGGCTACCCATCTTCAGCTCTCACCAAAATTTACGCTGAAATAAACCGTGTTTATTTTTAAAGCGCCACCAGGCCCCGGTTTTGTTCTCATCACAGATTAAGTAGGCTATCCCTCCGGAATGACCCCAAATCCCATCCACTCTGGCCACAGAAGTAAAGTAAGAGGTGATTTGGTCCCACCCACCAACTATTCAAAAACAGACTGCGGTTGTTAGGTGGCAGGACCAGATTATCTGCTCATGTCAGAGGGGTGTGCACGTGTCGACAGGTGTGATCTGGAGTTCTGACACCTCTCTAGTAAAGAGGAGAAATGAATATTCCTCTCCTTGACAGAACAGCCGTCAGCTAGGAACAGGAGGATGTTCCACCTGAACTGTAGCTTTACACTTTCAACTAACTGTACCGGGGAGGGGACTGAATGTCCGATGAGTCGTGGGGGTTACGTGCATCTGGGAGACCCGGGTTCAAATCCTGATTCTGTCATGCAGCTTATTTGTGTGTGCCTAACATACCACACAGGGTCATTGTGAGGATAAACGCAGAAGGCAGAGCCTCCTACACCAACCTGAACTCCCGGAACCAGCTTTTCAAAAACCTGGACAGAAAGACTAGGCAGGGCAGCAGCAGCTAGGCAGGTGTGTCACCATTACTCATCCCACTGGGTCTTGTTTTTCAGTGTCCCCGGTTTGCGACACCCACTCCGCAAATAAAACCAGGCCCGAGGGGCATCCACTCAAGGGATCTGGATGAAGGGATCTCTCAACTCGTGAAAGCTCACACTGAAATAAAAGGCTGTCGGTCTCTAAAGGGCTCGGTCAGTCCCCTGCAATTCCGCTGCCGCAGACTAAGGACTCTCCCGTTTCCCAACGGGGCAGCTTAAGGACTCCCAAGCAATGCTCCCTCTGAGCTGTGGAGTCTTGTGAGCGAAAATTCTACTTTTGTGAGCTACTGGCATTAAAGCTGTGAGCGAAGCAGTTTGGCTGCTGCAGAGATTAATTTGCCCTGGAGCAGTGTTCCCTCTAAGGTGAGTTAGTGTGAGCGAGCTCCCAGTTTTTTAACCTCCGGCGCATACATTTTTGTCTTAGCTCAGGAGGGATGGCTCCAAAGCAAACTAGTCTATGCAGGAGCCAAATCGCTCGCTCACAGCTTTAACGCCGCTAGCTCACAAAGCAGAATTTTTGCTCACGAGACTCCACAGCTTAGAGGGAGTGTTGGTCCAGTGGCACCTTTTAGAATTTTCGCTCACAAGACTCCACAGCTCAGAGGGAGCATCGCTCCGGAGCCACATCCTTCCTGAGCGCAGGCAAAAATCTGTGAGCTGAAGAACCGTGAGCCGGCTCACACTCACGCCGCTCAGAAGGGAACACTGTGACACTCCGGGGCAGTGTTCCCTCTAAGCTGAGTTAGTGTGAACTAGCTCACAGTTCTTTAGCCTCCGGCTCACACCTTTTTGTCCTAGCTCAGGAAGGGGGGCTCCAGACAAAAATCTGTGAGCTGGAGGCTCAAGAACCGTGAGCCGGCTCACACTCACGCAGCTCAGAAGGGAAGACTGTGACACTCCGGGGCAGTGTTCCCTCTAAGCTGAGTTAGTGTGAACTAGCTCACAGTTCTTTAGCCTCCGGCTCACACCTTTTTGTCCTAGCTCAGGAAGGGGGGCTCCAGAGCAGTGTTCCCTCTAAGCTGAGTGAGTGTGAGCTGGCTCACAGTTCTTTAGCCTCCGGCTCACACCTTTTTGTCCTAGCTCAGGAAGGGGGGCTCCAGAGCAGTGTTCCCTCTAAGCTGAGTGAGTGTGAGCTGGCTCACAGTTCTTTAGCCTCCGGCTCACACCTTTTTGTCCTAGCTCAGGAAGGGGGGCTCCAGAGCAGTGTTCCCTCTAAGCTGAGTGAGTGTGAGCTGGCTCACAGTTCTTTAGCCTCCGGCTCACACCTTTTTGTCCTAGCTCAGGAAGGGGGGCTCCAGAGCAGTGTTCCCTCTAAGCTGAGTTAGTGTGAACTAGCTCACAGTTCTTTAGCCTCCGGCTCACACCTTTTTGTCCTAGCTCAGGGAGGAGGGCTCCAGAGCCAACTAATTGAGGCAGTGGCCAAATCGCTTCGCTCACAACTATAAAGCCGGTAGCTCACAAAGTAGGATTTTTGCTCACAGGACTCCACAGCTTAGCGGGAACATAGCAGTCCAGCGGGGATGCTTAGGCAGGCGCTCCCGAAAAAGACGCGCGGAGGGGAGGCGTGAAGCCCGAGGAGAGGGAAGCTGCTGCTGCTGCTGCTCCGCCACCGCCGGCCCTCCTCGGCCCCGGCCCCGGCCCGCGTGTGCCGTACCTACGGTGGACTTGCAGGCCTCGCAGAAAGTGTCGTCGGTGAAGCGCTCCATGAGGCTGGTCTTGCCGACGCCCCGCGAGCCGATGATGATCACCTGCAGCTTGAAGTCGGCCGGGCGCGGCGGCTGCTTCCTCCGGCGGGCCTGGGGCCCCGAGAGCGCCGGGGAGCCCCCGGCCGAGCCCAGCCCCGGCCCCCGCCGCTGCAGCAGCCCAGAGCCCGGCTCCAAAAAAGCGCGGGGGCCCCCCCGCCCGCCCCCCCCCCCGCCCCCCGCCGCTGCAGCAGCCCAGAGCCCGGCTCCATCCACACATGCGGCTCGCGCGACCCCCTGCCCGCCGCCGCCACCGCCACCTCGCCCCGGCCGCTCCCGCCTGCCTCGCCCGCCGCCCGGCTCTCCCCTCGCGAGTCCTCGCCCCGGCCTGAGTGAGGAGTCGGGGGACCGGGGCTCCCGTCCGCCAGGCGCCGTCCGGACGACGAGCGAGAGGGCAGAGCAGCCCCGCCAGCGGGGCCCCGCAGCGCCCTCTAAGCCCGGGGAGGACTCCAGGCCCCGCGTCCCTCGCTGGCCTTGGCCTCGCCTCAGCCTGGCCCCGCCAGGGGCGGATTCAGGCTCACAGGCAGGGGTCCCTCTAAGCTGAGTCCGGTGTGAGCCAGCTCACAGTTTTTTTAGCCTCTGGCTCACCCGTTCTTGTCTTCCCTCAGGAAGGGGTGGCTCCAGAGCGAACGAATTTGTGCCGCAGCCAGATCTCTCCCTCACAACTTTCATGCCAGTCGCTCACAAAGTAGGGTTTTTGCTCACAGGGCTCCATAGCTTAGAGCAGTGGTGGCCACCCAGTGCCCCACCCAAAACCCACTTATTTATCGCAAAGTGCCAACACAGCAATTTAACCTGAAGGCTGAGGTTTTACTTTAGAAAAAACAACCCATACACTAACTTAAGATGATCCCAACAAAGTAAGGAAAGCAATCCCAAATGCTTTCGTTTACTTAAAATTATTTGGCAGAGAATTTGACACTTTAATGATGGTCTGGGCCTGGCTGGGGCGATGGCACGCGTGCCCACAGAGAGGGCTCTGAGTGCCACCTCTGGCACCCGTGCCATAGGTTCGCCACCACTGGCTTAGAGGGAGCATTGCTCACTGGTGCCCTAAGCACTGACCAATCTTGGTGCCTCCCCCTTTCCACACACTGACCTAAGCCCCCCCCCTCCTTTCCACACACTGACCCAAATCCGTTTTAGTTGTTGACCCGTCTGACCAGATATACAATGCAGGTTGCAGCAGTACAAAACTCGATTCATATGATAACACGATATACTGTACAAACTAAGCCAAGCTTGGGCTAAAGTTCTTTTCACCCTTTTATTTATTTATTTATTTATTTAATCACATTTCTATACCGCTCCTTCCCAGAGGCTCGGAGCGGTTTACACATATACATTAATCATCTAACTAGGGTCACATATATTTCAGGGGAGATGGGTGCCTTACCAGGCACCTAAGCAGCGTAGGTCTTTTTGTCTGTGGCGGGTCTTGCTGGAACCAGACCAAGCGGTAGTGTCTTTTATCCGGTGGAGGTCTGTTCTCTTCGACTTGGCTCCCCTAGGATGGCCCTCTGTGGCGTGCGGCTGCGCAATGAGTCGCACTGGTCTCTGTCCCGCAGGCTCTGACTGCGCTTACGTCACCACACCTCCACGCCGCCCGGACCACGCCTCCACGAGTTGCCTGCCATTTTTGCCACCCATCCGTCGCCATGTTCTTTTTCTGCCGGCTCACTCGTTGTTCGCCACCGCCGCTGCCCTCCAGTATTGGAGGTAGGATGCCCCCCCCCACTCCTAAGGAGTGGGTACTCATTTTTTCTTAAGGACCAGTAAGGGCTTTCAAGCCGCTGGGTGGGCGCGGCTGGGGCTTTTCCCAACTTTGTGGTGCCCCCTTTGGCTTTGGTGCCCTAAACACGTGCTTATTCTGTTTAATGGTTAATCCGCCTGAAAAGTACTGAGACATTCTAGTGATTTCAGCTCTCATACTTTTATTCAGGTAAGAACAAGACAAGTTCCCCCGGCTCGCAGGCCGGTTTATATGTGCAACAATCTCACACCCAAAACACACCCCCACACTAGTGATAGGCTATTTACAGTGGCCGAGAGTTCCATGGGCTCTTGGCCGGGAGCCTAGCCCTCGGATTGGCGCGGGCTAGGATCTGCTTGGGCCATTGTCTCTGAGAGCGAAGCTCGGGCGCTTCGCATGACCGCGTGGAGAGTTCATCTCGCACGTGGTCGGAGATGGATACATTACACCGCCCCTGGGCGCCCCTTTTCGCCTGTGCTTGGGGAGGGGGGATTGTTGTATTCCTGTCAGCTGCCCTTGAGCCACAAGGATGCAAATGTCTTAATAAGTTAGCAGAAAAGAGAAGAGTCCAGTAGCGCCTTAAAAGACTAACCAAAAGACATGGCGGGGGGGGGAAATTCCGTGAGGCTCTGCTTGCTTCTTCAGCAGTGACTCACGAAAGCTCCTACCCTGCCACGTGTTTTGTTAGCCTTTAAGGTGCCACTGGACTCTTTGTTCTCTTCTACGGCTACAGACAGACTAACACGGCTGCCCGTCTTAATAAGTTAGGGTTAGCCTATCTTGAAAAGCAAAAAAGCGAACATGTTTCCCCACTGACTACTTCAGACCAGTGGTCACGATGACAAATCTCATTTTAAACACCCGTACTACTGAAGCGGAGATCATTGCTACTCACTAGGGCAGGAGTGTTGAACTCAGTTGTTATGAGGGCTGGATCTGGCATAAATGAGACCTCGTTGGGCCGAACCATGTGTGTCATAAAATGTAATGCCAGGTAGCAGAGATATAAACTTTATAAAGGACACAAGCAACAAAGGGGCCTTTTTTAACTTAAAATAAAAACATGCTTAAAACGTCAGCACTCTTGCAATATTTTGTTTATTTAACAGTGTCTGATAAGTGACACCTCTTGCTCTGAATTATTGCATCAAAATGGCTGTGCTGTTGCAATCCTGAGTATGCTGTTCAGGTGTGTACCTGTAAGTTGCAAACCTACGATGATGCAGCAGGGGCAGCAGAACTGGAAGAAGCAGCAGAAGACAGCCAGTTCCACTGCGGTCCTTGTTTGACACCCCTGCTCTAACCACTGCATCACATTGTTTTATTGGGCTGCTCCCAAGAATATTTTTCTCCACTATGATAAAAAAAGAAAAAAGAATCTCCGTATTTCTATACATGAAACTGCCAAGAAGGCACAAGAATAAGGCAATCTCCTCCCCCCCCCCAAAAAAAAATCAGTTGTCAATTCTGTCTACTTCCATACACTGTTCTTCAGCAGTCATGCCAGCTTGCCAGCTCTGGGTTGGGAAATACTTAGAGATTTGGGGGTTGGCGCCTGAGGAGGGCAGAGTTTGGGGCATAATGCCATAGAGTCCAACTTCCAAACTGGCAATTTTTTCCAGGTGAACTGATCGCTGTCACCTGGAGATCAGTTGTAATAGCGGGAGATCTCCAGCTACCACCTGGAGGTTGGCAACCTTATGTCAGCTTCTCCCTCCATGGAATTTCTCATGCAAACCTGGTGAACTGGCCTGAAAGACAGGGCATTTGGGTTATATTTGTAATTATGTTGCCCGATAAACAATGCGTCAAGACAACTGGAGTGGTGCTGTTTTTGTGACAAATCAAAACAACACATGACATCAGGAGGTGAAAACCTGAAGACGGGAACTGACTGAATGTCTGCAGCTATGAAAGGACAGGATGAGAACTTCTGAACTTCCACAATGCCAAGCCAATCATCAGGATGCAGAAATGACTGCAAAGTTAGAAAAGCTCTCACAAGGCAGGTATAAATCAAGCTTTCGTGAGTCAGCAGAAATACTGTGGAGCAATATTAAAGTTGTTGTTGTTCAGTCGCACAGTCGAGTCCGACTCTTTGCGACCCCATGGACCAGCTCCCGCCAGGCCCTCCTGTCTTCCGCCGTCCTCTGAAGTTGGCTCAATTTCATGTTCGTTGCATCTGTGACACTGTCTAACCATCTCATCCTTTGCCGTCCCCGTCTTCTTTGACCTTCAATCTTTCCCAGCATCAGGGTCTTCTCCAGTGAGTGCTCCCTTCTCATTGGGTGGCCAAAGTATTTGAGCTTCAGTTTCATTATCTGGCCTTCCAGGGAACAGTCAGGGTTTATTTCTTTGAGGATTGACTGATTTGATCTCCTTGCAGTCCAAGGGACTCTCAAGAGTCTTCTCCAGCACCATCGTTCAAAAGAATCTATTCTTCGGCGCTCGGCCTTCCTTATAGTCCAATATATTAAAGTTAAGCCAGCATAAATATGAGCTTATGTCTTTTTTAAAAGGTTTATGTTTATGTTTCATCAGTGTAATGTAGTCAAAAAGAACAAATGAAGAGTGTTTACCCGGGAAATCTGTAGTCGCATGGCAATTGTTGGAAGCAGCAGCACTGCATGACGCAGAATAAAGAAACAAAAGAAAGAAGAAGCATATTCGTGGACTCTAATTGGACTAGATTCACTTTTGCACAGTGAACATTGGTGGGGTACTACCTGGAGGTTGGCTACCCTAACTCTGGAGAACTCAGAAGCTTGCACACTGTTTTGTGATATTTTGGTTGGTCAATCCCAATAAAAGTGCAATTGATACGCAGAGCAACACAGCTATTCTCCGCACTCTGTGTACTATCTTCAGTGTGACTGATTAAGACATGTGGATTGTGGCCTTGGGTCTGGCGGGTAAGACGCTAAGATCTTTACATTAGAATAAAGTTTGAGTCCAGTGGCACCTTCAAGACCCACGAAGTCTAATACCCAGAATTAAACTCTGTTGGTCTTAAACATGCCGCTGGACTCGAACTTTGTTCTGTTGCTTCAAACCATCACTATGTTAATATGGACGCAAGAAATGCAAGAACTGCAGGAACTGGCCACTAGAGGGAGCATAGCTAATCTTAGGTATAGAATGTGATAAGCGTGAAAGATCTCCTGCGGGGGACTTCCACAGTACAATTCAGTGAGGATCTCGAAGCCCTTTGCAAGCCAGCCCAAGCAACTGCTATGCAAGCTAAACATTGTATGGCTTGTTGGTGTGACTGTCTTGATACCTGGGACAATACCTGGCAATGCTCTCAAGAGCAGTCCTCGAAAGAACTCTCTCAGCCCCCCCCCACCTCACAGGGTGTCTGTTGTGGGGAGGGGAAGGGAAAGGAGATTGTAAGCTGCTCCGAGACTCCTTTGGGTAGTAAAGGGTGGGGTATAAACCCAATCTCTTCTTCTCCTATAAGGCCACAGAATCTTCATTCCAAAGCAGACGTTTTCTCCAGGGGAAGTGATCTCT